CATAAGACCGTTCCTTTTGGCCTGAAAAAGACTTAGAGGGAGCAGACACTGCTCCTCTTTTGCATGTTGATTTGCTCCCACAAAGTTCTTGCTCTTCCCCTTCAGGGGCCAGGTATGGGGATGTGGACAGGCGCTGTCGGCTGTTGGGACCAAGCAAACAGCTGGATGCTGTGTCTGTTGGGATGCCCTGGACTGCTCGTGGCTCTCAGGCCAGCGCTGAAACTGCAGCTGTGTCCCCCTGCTTTATTGTCCAGGACCCCTACAGCCCCCGTTCTCCTTTCTTTTCAGGATTCTCTTCGGGGAGAGACCGTACTGGTGGGTCCATGAGACGGACTATTACAGCAACACCTCCGCCCCAGAGATCCAGCAGTTCCCACTCACCTGTGAGACTGGCCCCGGTAGGTGCCCCCAGTCCCACAGGGTCCCAGTAGGGTCGCCCAGCCCTGGCAGGGGCCGTGGGTGCCTGCCCAGGGGAATCCACACACACAGCTCCCCACTCCAGGCCCCGGTCGCCACAGGGAGCAGGGTGCTGGCATGGCTGGGGCCATGGCTGGCAGCCCTCCAGTGGCACATGCCCTCAGCCAGCTCTTGAAAGAGGGCTGTTATCGAGGAGCTGCAGCTCTGGGCCCCGCCGTACCCCCGGGCAGGCCGTCTGTCCCTGCAGGGGAGCAGGCACAGCAGCCCCTGCGCAGGGCAGACCTTGACCTTCGGCACGGACGTGGCAGTTCAGCTCAAAGCCCTGCCTGTGCTCAGCCACAGCTTTGGCCCGTGCCAGGTCTGTGCTCTGCCCTCCAGCCACAAATGTGGGCAGCTCCTCTTTGGGGAAGGGGCTTCCCTGGTTCTGGAGCAGCTCTCTCTCTGTACTTTGCCCATGGCTCTCCACGTGAGGTGGGAAAGGGCTGCAGATATCCCTGGCACATTCAGCACGATCTGTTGGGGGTGGTCAGCACCCTCTGCCCAGTCTGGCCCAGCAGATGGGCTGCAGAGCCAGAGCCATGCTCCCACCCTGCCCCTGCTGTGCTGTGCCCCACTCGAGCGTTGCCTGCACCTGGGGACAGAGCTGGGCGCCTGCCATAGAGGTGGCACTGTGGATGCTGAACAGCAGGTGCTGGATGCCATGCTGCCTGGTGCCACAGCCCCTGGGGCCTGGGCTGCTGCTTGGGACCCTCCAGGGCACAAGGGCACAGCCCACTCTGAAGAGGGGGTCTGGCCTGAGGCTCTCTTCTCATCCAGGGAGCCCCTCTGGCCATGCCATGGGTGCAGCCGGCGTGTACTATGTCATGGTGACAGCCCTCCTCTCTACTGCCATGGGGAAGAAGCAGTTGAGGACGTTCAAATACTGGTAAGCTGTGTGCCAAAACTGCCTGTGCTGGGCAAAGGCTGCTCCAGTGCCTGTGGACTCACAGCCAAGCCTGTCAAGGCACACGGCTGTGGGCAGACAGCCAGACTGTGGCACCCCAGGTTGGGTGTGCATGAGGACGGGCTTGGCAGGTGGCCAGGCACTGCTCTGGGTGCATGATGGTGGCACCCCAAGCAGCACGAGCTGGCCCTGGCACCAACGTGTCTGCCTGCCTCTCACAGGGTGCTGTGGATGGTGCTTTGGATGGGGTTCTGGGCAGTTCAGGTCTGTGTCTGCCTGTCCCGAGTCTTCATTGCCGCCCACTTTCCCCATCAGGTCATCGCAGGGGTCATCTCAGGTGAGTGCATTGGATTCCCCATCCTCTTCCCTGTGGCACTGCCATGCTGGACACAGCACTGGTCAGGAAGGGTGCACTGCCTGATGGATGTGTGCAGGGTCATGACATAAAGCTGCACCCGTGGCTCTGCTGTTACTGCCCTCATCCCCACGGACAGGATTTCCTCCAGGACCTGCCTTTGCCCCTATCCCACTTGAGTCAAAAGCCCCAGCTGAGTGGGCAGAGCACTGCCAGATGCTGCTGGGCTCTGAGCACCACTGGAGCACCCAGGGCCGTGGGGTCCATCGGGCTCCACTGCTCCGAGGTGGGCAATTGCTCACGAACCAGCACTGCCACCTCTTCCGCTTCTCACCGGCAGGGATGGCCGTGGCCAAGACCTTCCAGCATGTCCGCTGCATCTACAACGCCAGCCTCCGCCAGTACCTGGGCATCACCTTCTTCCTCTTCAGCTTTGCCCTGGGTTTCTACCTGCTGCTGCGGGTGCTCGGCGTGGACCTGCTCTGGACGCTGGAGAAGGCGCAGAGGTGGTGCTCCCACCCTGAGTGGGTCCACATCGACACCACCCCCTTTGCCAGCCTCCTCCGTAACCTGGGCATCCTCTTCGGGCTGGGGCTGGCCCTCAACTCCCACATGTACCAGGAGAGCTGCCAGGGGAAGCAGGGCCCACAGCTGCCCTTCCGCCTGGGCTGCATCGCCGCTTCCCTCCTCATCCTACACCTCTTCGATGCCTTCAAGCCGCCCTCCCACATGCAGCTGCTCTTCTACATCCTCTCCTTCTGCAAGAGCGCGGCTGTGCCACTGGCCACTGTCGGCCTCATCCCCTACTGCATCTCCCAGCTCCTGGCCACGCAGGACAAGAAGGCTGCCTAGGGGTGTCCCAGCAGGTAACGGTGCGCCCGGGCAGGTGGCCGCCACGTCTCTGGGCACAGTGGCCTGGCGAGGGGGTGCACCCCAGCCGCTGTCTGCTCCCTGCTGAAGCTGCACAGACTGACTCCGCTCCGGGGGCAGACTGCAAAGTCTGGGCTGGCAGCACTGCTGGGCGGCTCCTGTGGCACAGACCCACGCTGCCAGTGGTGCTGTAGGCTCAGGTGGTCTGCAGCCAGCTGACGGCACGGTGAGCCCCACGCTCCCAGGGCTCTCCTGCTGCCCTTCCCGTGCCCATGGGTGGGGTCATCAGCCTGGGACCTGGTGGCAGCAGGGGGAAGACCCTGCACTCCCCTGCAGCTCGTGGGGATGAGTCACCTGCACGCTGCGGGGCTGCGGATGGCACCACCGGGAGCAGGGTGCTCACCCATGGGTGCTTGGGGGTCTGCTGGCGAGGCAGCTGTTACAGGAAGGGGCAGACACTGTGACCTGGAGATGAAGCACCAGCTTGCAGAGCCTCCCAGCCCTGAGGTGTTCAGTATGCACTGCTGCAAGAAGCAGTACGGGGTACACGTATGCCTGTGTGTGTATACATACAGAATGCATATCTATATACACATAGACATATGTCTATAAACAAGAGGTATTTTATTAAAGCTGAAGGTGTGTTTAGCTGGCAAGTTTGGCTATCTCGCTGGCTGGTGATGTGGGACAGGGTATTGGCTCCTGGGCGTAGGGGCTGCTGGTGGTGTTGGACGAAGGGTGTCTCTCCTACAATCACCTACGCCGCTAGCAAACCACTGGGGAAGGTTCCCTGGGTCCTTGTTGCCTTTCACCCTTGGGCGCAGTCAGCTGCAGCCAGCACAGCAGGGTGGTGGGTGAGCTGCTTTTGGTGTTGTGTATCCAGGGTTTCTGGGTGTACCTTGTGCCAGGAGCCAGAGCACGCTTGTGCTGCTTGCAGAAACAAGCACAGCTCTGGGACCGAGCGGCTCGGCTGGGGCTCTGCTGAGCCCCCCAGGCTGCGGAGGCAGAGCTGCCATGAGGTTGCTGGCTGTGCTGTGGGGCTGGGGCCGGGTGGTATCTGCTGGTCCAGCCTCCAGGCACCACCTGCCCTAAGGGCGGGTCTGCCCAGGCACAGGAAGCGGCTGTGTCACTGTGGGGTCAAGCTGCTCCGCTGGGGCTCCGCTCTCCCAGCAGACACATCCTGCCCTTCCTGCCCTGCTGCTCGTTAGTGGGAAGCCGGCTGTGGGCTCACCCTGCTGACTTCACAGCCATACAGGCTCTGCAGCCTGCCAATTAACTCGGTTAGTAAACACCTCCTCTCAGTCTGAGATAGTTTAAAATAAGATACAAAGGTACAGAAACTTTCTTTCTGCCAGGCTGTACGCGTGCATGCACAGTATCTCCCCCCAAACACCAGTTCCTGCCCCATTTACCCCATGCCCAGCTATCAGCATCGTCAGCGTTTGCAGAAACGCCACCTCCCCAGCCAGCTCTTGCAGTGCCTTTGGGAGATGGGGTCCAGCAGCACTGTCGTAATGTCCATTGTCTTGCTCTGACGTGGGTGGGCCTTTACCACAAGCAGAGTTTGCAGTCTTTGCCAGCCCTCTGGTGGGAGCCCTCCTGCTGCTGAACACTGAACCACCCGGCACGGGAGCACCTTCCTTCTGACCAAACTGCCCCTCAGCAGAACCCCACGCTAGAACACCTTCCACAGCAAAGCTTGTACATCCCACTCGGTACAGAGCTCAGCTGTGGACCCAGTTCTCAGTAGAAAGCTTATGTAGACCAGTGTACCCCCCGCCCCCCGGTTCCTCCAGCTGGGAAGTGGACAGGCTTGGCCCAACACTTGTCCCAGCCGGGAGGGACAGGGACAGGGCAGCCAGACCCCACGGAGGCAACTGCAGGAAGCCCCTCTCTGGGAGGCTGGCGTGTGCTGGGAACCAGGGCTGCTGGTCACCCCTGCAGCAGACTCCAGCTGGGTCCACCCCTGCCCCTGCCCCTGCTCACCAAGAGCTCAACCCTTGCCAAAGGGCTCTCGGCTGAACCACAACCGCCTCAGCCACGTGTGGAGACACCGCGTGGTGGGTCTGCTGCTATCCCCTGTGTTCATGACAGATGAACCTCCTTAGGATAGGCTTCTTTGCTTCTATTTCTGTTTATTACCAACATCTGGACCAAACCTGCCATGCCATTTCCAGCAAGAGGTGGAAAAAATGTTTCCAACATTACCCGTTGTGCTCTTCCACGCCGCGGCTCCGCAGCGCCCTTTAGTTTCTGCAGCTGAGACTGCAACAGCTGCCAGGCCCACCCTGGCACCCAGCCAGCTCACACAGCACACGGGCACCAGCCGCCAGCTTCATGGCTTTATTCTCTGGGAGGTAAGTTGCTGGAGTGTATGCAAAGCAGGGAAGACGCCCCCACTTTGAGAACTGTTTCTTACTCTTCAGGGCCTCGATGGTTGATGAATTCCTGGAGCAGAGCTTGCACTTCTCCCCGACGACTCATCTTGGTGGCCTTGCCCTGGAAGCGGCCTCGCTTCCCTGCTCCTTTGCCTCCCAGCAGCTCTGCCACCCTGCAGTAACAACAGCACAAAGAGGAACACAGCCTGGCCCAGCCTGCTCCAGAAAGTAAGCAAGGGTTGAAGACCTAGCTCTGCTGCTTAGTCTGCAACATAGACTTCTCACTAAAGAAAGCACAGAATGTGTTACCTGGGACCTAAATTCTCAACTGCTTCAACAGGTCCAGCTAAAAGAAAGAGTCCTGCTTCTTTTTCATCTCCCACAGTCAGGAAGAGCAGGGTTTCCTGTGGACAGAGATTGATCTTGCTCCAGAATAACCAGAGCCCTCCTTGTCCTGGAGAGGACAGAGACACTGGCCACAGGACCCACCCAAGCATGTGAACAATTCAGAAGTTTGTGCACATTACTGAGACAGAGACTCAACCTGAAGAAAGTAAAAGGGAAGGGAGCTTTTGAACCTTTTGTGCTCAGTCATATGTTCTGGAGGACAGAACAGGTACTGCGGTATCCTAAGTTGAAAGGATACAGTTGGCAGTTGAACTAGATGATCATTTTATGTCCCTTCCAGGTGAAATAGTCTAGTCTAAACCACCCAGTGAGATTCTGTACAGCTCTTCTGGGGTCAGGCTCTTCTACAGTGCTCTAAATTTTCACTGTTGTATTTCTCATGGTTGAGAATTCCCCTGCAGCCTGAGGCAACCCCAGGTAACTTCTGAAAGGAAAGAGACCTGTAGCTTTTGACTGCAGCACAAACGTGGCACAGCCTGGTCCTGCCCGTGCTACAGCTTGGCTGAAAAAGTCAGTGTTGTCAGTTAGTCTCCATCAGTGCCTCACCTCTGTCCCGATCTCATTGGCAATGATATTCATGAATTCAGAGTCCCCCTCTTTCCTGTATGGAAAAGAAAGAAGCAAAAATCCCCTCTGCAGTTCAAAATATCAATCAGAAACTAAAGGCCTGATCAGGCCTGGGGTTTTGGCCTCTTGCTGATAGGATGGAGTTCTACATATGCACAATTCATTCCTGCAGACCTATATAAGTGTTTGTCTTTAAGAAATAGAGCTCCTCAGTTTTACTTCAAAGTACGAAGGGCAGACAGAAACCAGATAGACACTTAGATATAAAACAAGAGAATTCAGTGACTGAACTGCTAACACGTTCCTTTAGTTACAGAACTTCCAGCAGGCTGAGGCAGCTTACAGCTCTACTCACCCTGTTTATGCTCCTCCTTGAGGAGCAAGTCTGAATAGGTGCCAGAGAGACGTGACTGCCATGAAAGGTGTAAGATGCCATTCGACCCTTTTCCCCGAGCCCCCCATACCTGTGTAACACAAACAGCTGACTCTGAACAGGTTTGCTCTTGAAGTCCCGGGCTATCAAAACAGCAATGTCTCTAAGCAGGTTCAAGTTATTCTGAAAGAAAAGCAAATAAACTGCACTGCAGATGGAGAAGTCAGTGTGAACACTGAGTGGTGTTTCCAGCGACGGGAGCGGTTTTCGTAATACCCATCAACTGATGACTATGATTCAACTCCCAGTTATCATGACTAAAGCTCAGGTCCACTTTTCTTAGCCATCCTCATACCTTCTGAAGCAGCTTCACAGAGTTCTGCAGCCTCTTCACAGCCTCTACATGCTCGCCTGGTCCGTTTCTGAAAGAACAAGGAGAATTTGGATCACCACTCTGAAGAACAAGGAAAGCATTTCTTAAAGGAGCAAAAGCAGGTAAGATCACAAAAAGCACCACGCAGATGTACTCTGAGGCCCACGTGGTGTTTGTCAGAAGGAACAGTAAAGACAAAATAATCAAAGTGGAAAGGGTATTACTTGAGCAGCGAGGTTAGAGCCTTCTCAGTACTGTGACTTTGTTCGATTGACTTCAGCACTCTGTTTCCTGCCAGGAAAACCAAGTTGGTTTTGTTCTTTTTCCCTTTTTCTGTCCCAAGGAGTTTAATAACCTTAAAAAGAAAATCACCCTGGTCAGAAAAGAACAATACTCTGCTTATACTCACACAGGTAGTCAGTTCCTACTAGACTATACTTTGTGAATATTGCCTCTCTGCCAGTGAAAATAAACTGATTAAAATCAGCCATAAGATCAACATAAAAAAAAAACAAACCACCAAACCCAAGAGTGGTGATACAGTGGAATTAATACAATTTAGGAGTCATGGGCTGACTCTGCAGTGCTTGTGTCTGGGTGTCTCTGCTGGGATATGGGCTCCAGCAAATGACTGAAAAGGCTGAAACACTTAAAGGCAGCTCTAGAATTTTATCTCCACCACCCTGCACAGAGGATTTCTCATTTGTGACCAACACCCAGAAGTGTCAGTGCTTTAGGCAGAAGGAACAAGTGGAGAGCCACCCAGCAATGCAGCACCAGGCTGGCCCAGCTCCCTGCACCACGTACCCTCTGCAGGGGCACCAGCAGCTCAGGAAACATCACTGCTGCAGAGCAGGGCCAAGTTCTCTTACAGGGAGAGGACGGAGCCTGACTGACAGGACAAGGACTGTGACCTGTCTGAAGGCAGCTTCAGCTGCAGCCCCCCACCTGCAAGTCACTCAGGTTGGAGACGTGAGTCCCACAGCACATGTTGGAGTCCACACCTTCGATGTCAACAACTCGCACTGGCCCCACGTGGTCACCTGGCAGCCCACGGCTCCTCACCTAGCCACAGGGGGACAAAGGTGACAGCCAGGCTGCAGCCACGTCGGTCCCACGGACCCCAGCAGTTCTCTCCCCACCACTCACCGTCTCAATTTCAGGGTCATCTGCAGCCAGCTCCCTCACTGTCACAGGTACCCTCTCCCGGATTTTCTCATTCACACTCCTCTCCAGGGCCTCTACCTGCTCTGGGGTGATGGAGGGGGTGTCCAGCTCAATGACACTTCGCTGACGGCCCAGCTCCCTGCACCAATGAAGAACATCTGCTGCTGCACCTATGACGAGCTGGAAGGTCCTTCTGTGCAGTGCTAAGTGCTGTGCCACTGCTGGGAATGTGGTGACTAAACAAAACGTTCTTCCCTCCTCCCCCTTTTATTTACAGAGCATCAGGCGCCTCCTACACACTTGGGGAAGACAAGATAGCAAGTACTTTGCACAGTTTCTCTCCAGTTCAGTCACTGCTCCCAGGCTCTCTGAGCTCCAGTGAAATGTCCAAGGAAAAACTCCTTTTGATTTTTCAACATTCAGCTCCTGGCCCAGCATGGTGGCACATGTCAAACAAGGCAAGACTGGAGTTAAAAGGAGCCATTTCCCTGCTCACCATGAAGTTGTCTTGAACCCAAACATCTGTTCTGTGATGGCAGTGATAAGATGCTGTCCTGGAAGAGACATGCAAGCAACAGCTTTGAGTGCCACTGGACATGGGAAAAGAAATTTTCAGACTGTATTTTTTCTGCTGACATTCCCCACGACATTCACAGACGCTCAAGCACGTGCTCAGCGCCGTGGGGCTCATGCTACTACTCGGGAGCAGGGAGAAGAAACAGCCATTGTCTCGTGGGCTGGGGACCCTGAGAGCACCCCGAGAGCTCACGGGTTTCTCATTC